ATAATCCATAATAACGCTTCCTCCAGTGAAAAAGTGTTCTGGTGTGAATCAGGAGAGAAATCTGCACAGATCAAGCAGCGTTTAAACAGCTCTAAACACATATGAGAGACAACAGCAGATGCACTTTTTCACTGGAGGAAGCGTTATTATGGATTATGGACTCGTATTTTAGCCAGAAGTTTGATGTTGATGTAATTTCTGCACTTTAGACAGCATTAAAAACTGTCTTGGTTGAGCTGTAAAGTTGAGTTTGAGGAACAGTAACTCTGCTGCTGATGTCACGTGTGTTTCTGTTGTTAATGTCACCTGTGTGTGTGTGTCCCACAGAAGCTGCAGGACTTTCACAGTCTCAGCTGTCCAGGATTCACTGGAGACGAGCAGACGCTCCACGTAGAGGGTGACGTCACGCTTGACCAGCACCAGACCAAAGAGGACACCGTCATCCACCAATCAGAGGCCAGCTGGAGCGGCGGGAAGGAGCGTGAGTGTCTGTGGGCGGGGCTTTGCAGCCGGAGGGGGCGGGACTCATTCCAGCTGGGCGGAGAACTGGACATCGAGCAAATCGAGAGGAACTGAGATGATTCCCAGTATTCCCGTTGGATTATTATGGACGAGCGCTTCAGCGAGTGGACGCGGGACACATGTAATCGACTCAGGGTGAAGCACACGGAGAACGTCACGTCATCAGAACGTGAGCCGTGCCGCGTGTAAACACGCATGCATTTAGATTAGCAGGAGCCGACTTGAGAAACACTCGTGCTCTGACGTTCACACAGACACACTCTCTCTCACACACACACAGACACACTCACTCTCACACACACTCTCTCACACAGACACACTCACTCTCACACACACACGCACTCTCTCACACACACGTACACACTCTCTCTCACACACAGACACACACACACACACTCTCTCACACACACACTGTCACTCACACAGACACACCAGCCGGTCAAACTCGGTTCAACTCTCTCCTGTTCACTGAGACGAGAAACTAAACATTCCACTACATAATCACGTGTAACTTTGTGTGTGTGTTTAGGGCGTCACTGAAGTTCTCTGTGAAGCCTGTGATCTGCTGGGATGGAAGAAACCGACCAAGATCCAGATAGAAGCCATTCCTGTGGCTCTCGAGGGTATGCAGCTCCTCACACACACACACACACACACACTCTCTAACACACACACACATAGGGCTGGGTATCGAGTTCGATACTTTTAGGCACCGACCGAATTGCCTCAATACCATCGAGTATCGATACCTAAGGGGTTAATCTCATCAGCGTCAGTGAGCCAATAAGCCTGCAGCACTAGCCGGTGTGTTCGACTAGAAGAGGTGTGACGCAGATCGATCAGTGTTTGACATCTGCGAGAGCGATTCGAAGGCGCACGGAGCAGTCTGCTCTCTTTAGCTCTCGTGGTACTGTAATACACCGATCGGTCTGCACAGTCGGTCCGCGTCAAGTCGAACACACCTACTAGTTTACACCGGTTACACTCAGAGATGTGGCGCACACGTGATGCTGTAGTGTGAATGCGTCCCAGCCCCCACAGACCTGACAGACAGACACACACACACACACACACACTCACTAACAGACCTGACAGACAGACACACACACACTCACTAACAGACCCGACAGACCCACA